TTAACTTTTATTTGGACGTTCTGTTACGAATTATTACCTGCAAAATATTTTGCTCAGAAACTTGCGATCCGATAGCAAATCGTCGTTTGAGTTGCTTTTCTATACGGTTCAATGTGTCCTGATCTTCCTCAGTGGTGAATCCCTCCGCTCCAGCTAGGCTACCAGTCATAGCAGCATCAAGCGTAGATACTTGAAATAGTCGAAGTGCTTCATTTACATGCTCATCCGTAGCAAACGGCAACAAACGCATTTTCGCCAATGATTCTGAAATTCGGATGATAGCTTCTAGCTGCCGCACTGTAATTGGAATACAATGCCGTTTATCTGCAGACTTCTCCTGCTGCCCAGCGCCACTTCGCATTAAAACATAACGACTTTTTAGTTTTTCTCCAGCCGCTTCGCTTAGTCGCGGGCCACAATGTGTGCGACAATAATGGATATATTTCTTGAACATGGACAATGAAATTTCCCCTTCTGCAGGATCGGAGGGTGCTGATTTGTTCGAGCTCAGATGCACATTTATTATATGCTTTGCCAAAGTGATGTCTCGAGCCTCGTCGTGTACATCCTTCACAATAAATATCATGTCAAAACGTGACAGAATCGTTGGCATGAAATCAATGTTTTCTTCGCCTTTTGTATCATCCCATCGCCCAAATATTGAGTTGGCAGCCGCAAGCACTGAGCAACGTGAATTGAGTGTGGTTGTAATACCGGCTTTTGCAATCGAAATGGTTTGCTGTTCCATTGCTTCGTGGATAGCAACGCGATCGTCTTCGCGCATTTTGTCGAATTCATCTATACAAACTACGCCACCATCAGCGAGGACCATAGCGCCACCTTCCATAACGAAATTACGCTATGAATCAGACATAGATATAAATTAGTGAAACCTCTTAAGGCAAACCATTCTGATAAGTTTTATACCGTATGCGGATCCTTCATAACCGAAGCTGTGAGACCAGCTGCACTAGACCCCTTACCGGACGTGTAAACTCCAATGGGCGCAACTTTTTCAACGAATTTGAGGAGCTGAGACTTGGCAGTACCCGGATCTCCCAAGAGTAATACATTTATATCGCCACGGCGGCAAAGACCGTCCGGAAGACGTTTTCGCGATCCACCAAAGAGCATGCACGTAATGGCCTTCTTAATGTCACTGGAACCAAAAATGCTAGGGGCCAAAGATTTCGACAGGCGATCATATATATCTGGCGAAACAGCAAAGCGTCGGAAGTTTTCTTCTTCTTCAGTAGTTATGTTAGTATAACGAGACACTGCACCAGCTCCCTCAGCATCGACAGTTATGCCGACTACGCGCATGTATGGAGCACGAACTCCGAGCACAGCCTTTTCGCGACCATCCTGACGCGACGGCTTTCCAACCTTACGTATGGAATAAATACCCTGTATAAGCACTCGATTGCCAGGCACGACTCGTTCGCATAGTGAGCGATCGCAAAACAATTGCAAATGACGTGGAATTTCGCCTTGTGGCACAAAATCTGGCAGCTCTTGCAGTTTAAGTGTTTGAAAATCAACGCACTTACATTTGTCTGGCATTATAAAGAAGGGATCCAATGGACACTTTGGCCTGCCAGCCTGTTCGGTAGTGCATTTGCGTGGCAGTGCATAACCTTCAAGTCCTGGATTCACTTTTAAGTTTGGAATTACGGTACTGCACGACCGACACATAATCGACATCCGGGTCGCCTTTGCCTGAATGCCGGAGGCTGCAACAATTATGCCAGCAATTTTAACCAAACGTGATACGCTGTCTGACTTTAATTCACGAATATTTGTCGGATGGGCACTAGACATCAACAGTATTTGAATGTCATGCATTTGTTCTTCATGTTCGGGTCGAGGTGCTGTTATTTCATCAGCTACCTCACGTGCAGCTTCTTCGAAGATCTGCAAATGTTCAGTTGGCTGCTTGTTCAATTTGTCGCCAAGCGTCTCATCGAAGCCCACCACATCCTCCATTTCAATTTCCAAAAAGTAGCGTCCATTTAGATAGTTTCGCTTTAAATTATCTCTGAATAGATTGAATCGCAAATTAATAGTTTGATACGCATTATTTGTGGGATGATAGTTACCGATATTTGTAATAAAAATTATCTTCGTTGAATGTACGAATGAATTCTTTATATTTCTTTTTCACAGCTTGTAAATTAATTTGGGCTCCGTCTGGGTTATGATCGTTCCCAAAATTGTCTGAGAAAAACACACCAGCATCGTCGAAACCTTCCATTGTGACAATAAACAAGTTTAATGAAAACCCATCAACTTAATTCTGCAAACGCCGCCTTATTCACAACGTGAAGCTGATTATTGCCGCCAAAACAATGCGTATAATCGATATCTAGCAATCGTGCTATCAATTTTCCACAGCATTGCTATTTCGATTATAATTTTGAAAGGTATTAATGGACATATGGTAAATCGGGCAGTTCTATATCCATTTTAATTAATTTATATCGATATACCAAACACATACCACATGTGTATCGTTTTGAAATGAAAATACCGATAAGCATTCAACATCCCTAAAATTAAGCTGCTTGGTAGCACTTTTTCGCGTGTGTTTGGAGGGAAGTAGTCCAGTGTCTGATACATTGCTTAATTTCGATTAACTTACACAAATCAGACCAAAAAAAGCTTTAAAAAAATGGTAAGTAGAATATACTGAGTAGCAAAATGATGACTGAACTGATTTTATTGTATTAATTACAGTCCTCTACAGATATAGCAATGGAGTCAAGCGCTGAACTTGAGAGCGCGCCCGGTGCAAGTCTCGCAACTGTCGGAATTGCCAACACGAACAATGTATTAAAGAAACTTGCCCACAGCACCGCCGGCAGTGGTGGTGGTGCTGGTGGTGTAGGTAAAGGATCTCCTGGTGATGGCGAAGCGACTGGCAACGCAGATGAGATGACTTCAAGGGACTATTACTTTGACTCATATGCCCATTTTGGAATCCACGAGGAAATGCTTAAAGATGAGGTCAGGACTGTCACATACCGCAACGCAATGTACCACAACAAACATCTTTTCCAAGGAAAGGTAAAGTATTAAAATTGCTGTATGCACCATGAAATAGTTACATGGTTTTCAGAAAAAAAAAAAACATATACATTTATATATATACATGTTGGAAACTTGAATATGTGTCATTCTTATCCGCTTAAACATAAAATTATTTGCAGACTGTTTTGGATGTTGGATGTGGTACTGGCATACTATCCATGTTTGCTGCTAAGGCCGGCGCTGCCAATGTCATTGCCGTAGACTGTTCCAACATTATAGAGTTCGCTCGACAAGTGATAATCGACAACAATTTACAAGATATTATTACTGTAGTCAAGGGTAAAATCGAGGAAATCGAGCTTCCGAATGGAATCGAAAAAGTTGACATTATTATTTCGGAATGGATGGGGTATGTTTAATGGTAAACTCATATTAACTGTCATTTATAATGGCTCTATTGTCAACTGCAGGTACTGCCTCTTTTATGAGTCTATGCTAGATACGGTGTTGTATGCTCGCGATAAATGGTTAAAGCCCAATGGCATGATGTTCCCAGATAGGGGTACACTTTACATCACAGCTATCGAAGATCGCCAGTATAAAGACGAGAAGATCAATTGGTGGGACGATGTGTATGGCTTTGATATGAGCTGTATACGGAAGGTGGCTGTTACCGAACCACTTGTTGATGTTGTCGATCCAAAGCAAGTAGTTTCTACTGCGTGCATGGTGAAAGAAGTTGATTTGTACACAGTGCAAAAAGCCGATTTGAACTTTTCTTCGAAATTCAACCTTACCATCAAGCGTAATGACTTTGTCCAAGCTTTGGTCACATACTTCAATATTGAGTTTACCAAATGTCACAAACGACTTGGGTTCAGCACATCCCCTGATTCCACATATACACATTGGAAGCAGACTGTCTTTTATTTGGATGATCACATAACTGCCAAAAAAAATGAAGAGATCAATGGAACGTTTCAAATGAAACCAAACGAACGGAACAATCGGGACTTGGACTTTGTCATCGACATCAACTTCAAGGGCGAGCTATCTGAAATCCAGGAGTCAAATACATACCGTATGCGTTAAATTCACGCCATTTTAGTAATGCGGACTTAGAGCTGCTGCCTTCTTCAGACAGAGGGAATTAAAACAAGATGACTAGACGTAAGATATAATCCAGTGCGAAATGTGCAACGAATTTGTGTTGCGTCTTCTACTAAGTTTAAAGTGTACCTTTTTAGTATACATTATATTTTTACAAGTGCGCCTGTTTAAATTATGATTCAAGAATACTTCTAAGACATTTGTACAGTGGCACATTAGGTCTCACACGAAAACAAAATAAAGTGTGCGGTATCCACACAATTTTACTGGACTTTTTCTAGTTTTATTTATCAACAATTTTGTATATGCATTTACAAAATGAAATAAGGTTCTGAGTAGTTTCTTTCTGCATTAAATTTTAGCATTTCCATTCACTGTTGAAGCTGAAGAATGACAATTTGGAATACATATTCATGTAAATCATGAGTTAAAACATATCATGTTTAGCATACATGTGTCTTTCTTATCTTATAGTTGGATATTACAAATTATACGATATCGTTACGCCATCCTTTAGCGTAATATCCTCTTATAGGTTCAATCATTATAAGTGTAAAAATATTATGATACCCGATAGGACTTAAGGTTTATGCTACCCAAAAATAGTGTTGAATTTTTGGATTTAAAAAAAAATCAAATTTCCTATAAAAATATAATGCTAGCCTATTTTCAAAGTTACTAAACGAATAAATACGTAATACGTTTTGTTCATATTAAAAATATTTATTGCAATCATTTAAGTGTCATTTTTGGGGACAAGGATAAAAATGAGCATAATTTAAATTTAGAAAGGTACAATTTTACGGAATAAATGTAATTATGTGAATGTATTAATTGAAATAATTTATTTCATCATTTTCAATATCGTTCACGTGATTCTGAGCGAGTTCTCCTGTCTCTAGAAAAACTTCGAGGTGTCCGGGAACGCCTTGGTGAACGAGATCTGAAAAATGTCCACATATAGTTAGTTTATAAAACATTGAATAAGTTTCAATGTACTCGACGGCAAGCCGAATAATCAAGATATTTCAATTTCTCAAATTCTTTTGTATACTTTTAACCAGATCTAACCAATATGTGTATATTTGCAAAACTAGCTCACCTTCATTTTTTAATCATTGACATATGTATATTTGATAATTTTTCAATTCCATATCTGAATAGTGTATTATTTTAAAACAATTGCCAAAATATTATTTACATATGGGTCTATTACATATTTACAAATGTAAGATATTGATATTTGGATAGAATCGTCATTGTGGTGCACATATCTGCCGATATCTTTGTGTTTTATGGTTTCCTCAAATTAAATAAAATAGCTAAAAAGATTTTATGCACATTTATGAAGTGAGCAAGCAGACGATTTTTAATAGATTGAACAATATTTTTACCCATTCGAGAATTTTATGCTAAAAACCCACACTTCTTAGCTCTTTATTACGAGAGATATCTTACAGAAAAATATAATAAAAATAATATTATGAATCTGTAATACTTTCCTATCTCTAAGTTACTTAGCGTATCTATCCCTATTAACATCATTGCAAACTAACGTATATGTCGTAAATAATCAAATTTATTTAAGATTTTCAAAAATCATTACCGATATCATTTCTTATTTTCAATACCTAATTTAAGTAAATGTATATTCTAATTTACCACAGTTATAGTTATGTATCACATCGTCCTAAGCTTCGTCTTAGACTTCTTAATCCCTAACTATTGATAATTTATGATAAATAGACTTTTTTACGTTAAAATAATGCTAATAAATCGTCAAATGTGGCAGATAAATGAAAAGCAATTAGAATTAATAATTGAAGTATCATCTATTATGGGTCGCGTGTTTCTGTTGTTGTGCATGGTTGAAGTGCAGATATACTGATGATTTAAAAAAATTTAGTTTTATATAGACATCAGAAGTTCTGGATCGGCGATCATTTGTTGGTTGATTTTGTGCTTGTGAACATTATGGTAGAGAAGATTTGAAGAATCGCAAAGATGTTTTTGTTGTTCTTGTTGCTGTAGGAGGAGGTAGTTGAAGAGTAGAAGGATTGAGCCTGTAAGAATGTCGACTTTAGCAATCTTTTAACATCTACTCGACGTTATAACAATACAAAATCAAACAAATTATTTAAGTGCACTAGTCGGAAGTACCGAGCTAGGGTATACCCCGAACCTTCCGCAAATCTTCTGTTCAAAGCATGATCGGCTTTCTGTGCAACTATGTATATAAAAATTCAGATAAACGTGAACACTGTAATTGAACAATGCAACAGGAAATTTATGAAATATGTATATATCAAATAATAAGGGATATCAATTTTAAATTCATAGGAATATTGGAAACAGATATTAAAATGTGAAACTAGTCAGTCTTAGTAATTTTGTTTTGCTTAAACATTTGTGATCGTTCAAAGCCCACGTTAAAAAGCTAAATGATTTATATTATTAGGGACATTGATAATATCAATTCAGCTCGACTTCACGATTAAGAATTTATATATATTATGGGCTAATCATGCTTATTAATATAAGTATTTGCACAAAATGTTCATAATTATATAGGATGTAATGAGCTCAATACTTTTTGTTCAAGTAATTTTATAAAGATATATACATTGATTGCATCCTGAACAAAAATATTTTATAGGCATATTGATATTAATAGGACTATTATTTGTGTTGTATTAAATACGATTTGGCAATATTTTACCTAAGTCGTCCTCCACTGCGTCCTCGACTACTGGAGCTACCTTCAGCAGCGCCACGCCGCGATCGATCACGGGAACGTCCTGAAGACATTTCTACACGGATTCGAGTGCCACAACAACGCGTTCCATCTAGTGCTCGGGTAGCATCCTCCGCGTCCCTTCGATCTTCGAACTCAACGAATGCAAAGCCAGGAGGATTGCGTGCTATCCATACGTTTTTCAATGGACCATATTTGCTAAAGGCATTCTCGATCTCATATTTTGATGCCGATGATCCTAAGTTTCCAACATACACTTTACAGGCCAAATCCCATTCACGATAACGCGTCATATTGCTTGATAAAAAAAAAAATAATTCAAATAGTTAAATTAGCAACAGCAAAAAGTACTTAACACGCATAGGGTACTAGATCAATTCAAATTATGCCTAATATGGAGAAATTCAGTACTCAATTTGATATGTCAAAAATAATTGATGCCTTCGACACATATGTATGTATGTATATGTACATATTTTGAAATTATTTAAAGACAAGAATAACACCATGTAGGTACTTGTAACACACTGCAGTTGTTTTATAGATATACATTTGTATTAGGTAATATAAAGCAAGATAAAATAATAATAATAATAATCACAAAATCGAACTACATATATCCATAAACACAATATATCTATGTACATATGTAGTTTACAAAAGAATGGCTACCAAGTGTAGCAGGTAAAGTTTTATTTTAAATGGAATATCTGTATACATAGGTATATGTAAAGTAATGTAATTGGACTAAGTTAATGTGTTTTAATCACAATACTATGGTAAGTTTCTCACCAATCAACAATTAAAAATCACGAAAAATAACATACAATTTTCAGCCAAGATGCCAGACTGTCACTATTAGTGTGACCGTAGATAATAATAAAAGATATACTAATTTTGCAATATTATAAAATAGTTTTCACTGTGTGTTTTAAAAATATAAGCGACTTCGTTTTTTTTCTTTCTTTTATGTAATTATTCTTATAGAGAATTGTAATTGTTATATGAATTTCACCTGAAGATGATGTATAATTGCAGCCCTAGTTTAAAAAAATATCGAATGTACTTCGATATATGAAAAGCAAACCTAATGAACAGTCAGCTGGGAAAATTTCATAACCTGGCATCGTGAGGTCTGTGCTTGTTTAAATTGAAAAACCTAAAAGAAAAATGAGGCTTACAAATAAGCTATATGCACAGCATATTGGATGGCATTTCAAAAAGCACTGGCAGGTGCAAGGCAGACGCGTGCCCAGGGAAACAGGTGCTGCTGCTGAGCTTTTAAAGATGGGAATTCAAGTTAAAACGCCTGACGAACTGTTGAATGATAAAAAAGAGTTCCGGTTGTAAGTAGAATTGATTCATGGAATTGGTACCTATTATTAAAAACCGTATGTACGCGTAGGGTTGACATTGTTGAAACAGTACCGAAGCCAATCGCAGAGGACGAAACTCATCCAAATTGGCATACAACTGCGTGTCATATGTTTAAGGATAACAACGTTCTACTTGGAGGATTGCCACAAGCGCAGGTTCTAACAAATACCATAGAGATAAATAGCTTCCCACAACAAATCGAGGACGCTATTTCAAATGGCCAGTATTCTAAGGTCGTGGATCGTAATGTTCAAAATGCAATTTTCTCATCCCATTTGCTGGATGCGCAGCAAGTAAAATTGCCAAAGGTAAAACTGATTGACAGACCGGCATATAACCTACCTCGCCTCTATGGGATCTCTCACGAAAGACGAAAGTACGTACCACACATTTGTGAAATATTTAAATTTGTGTATTTCTCTCAATATGTAAGCAAGGAAGAAACCGTACTTTCAGTTATTTCACCCGTGTAAAGACTTCATATATTACATACAAGCACTTTAGCTCTTCACTTGTTTCTTCATAATCAAAGCACACCTTACCTTGCCATTTTCTTTTGGCTTTCGATTAAAAACGCATAATCAAAAACCCATTTGCAGTACTTAATCAAATATCTATATCTATGTATCATATGTAAAGTCTGTCGGCATTCACCTACAACTGTACTGTATACCATAGGAAATATTTTATTTTTCCACTTAGTTCTTAAAACGATTATTTGCGAAGCCGCAGTTTTACGAGCTATAAGTTCTGTATGAAAAGTCTCAAAATTGAAGACCGATTTTTACATCTGTTTGTAGTTTGATTTAATATGAATTCTTCCTTCTGTAGTCGCCTCGTTATAAACAAGCTTTTGTTTGAGATCGAGAAACTAGCTGGCAGATCTGTAACTGTTCGACGAAAGCTAATGGATAATGTAACATTTCAAACATTAATATCCAAAGATAATGATTTGCTAAGCTTTATACTTAGCGGAGATAAATTAATAAGCTCTTCTCGCGCTTTGGACGCTGTCAAGGGGAAATTTAATGGCGAATTACCCGATTTATATCCTATGAAAAGTGTAGTTTCAATGCCGAAGCGGCATATTTATACGGAAAACAACTTCTATCGTAAGTGAATTTGATGTATTTCAATGAATGATTATGTAACAATATTCTTTTTCAAACATAGCTATTCGGTCTGAAATAAGCTGCTCACATCCCCATACAATTGTGTCTTTCTTTGATAAAACAATTGTGGGCAACATACACGGATCCGATGTATCAAAAACTCAATTCTATGGACGTTCTATGCTTAAAGCTTTTGTGGCAGCTGCTGCTCGTGCTAAACAAATTAACGGAGTCACTTTCTGTTCGGATCTACAAAAACCAATTGTTGTACAATGCGTCCATACCGATGGACGAGAATTTCATTTCGGAGTGTTTCAACTTAACACGCTTAATTTAGACTCGAATAATTCAACGAAAAACTATTGGTTCCATCGAGGCAGTATAGAAATGTTTAATGATTGTTCTTATAAAACAGGTAGACCACACATCGATGGGTATAACAGTGAACCTTTTCGTATTTTAAATGCGTTTTATAATAGCTCTTAATATGTACAATTTTTCATTCAATCAAATAAAGTTTGTTATACTAAGATTGTATCAAGTTATATATATTTCAATCCTATTTATTTTATTTTTATTTTGTTTAAATATAAATGGGAGTGATAATTAGATGGCTGATGTTCGTTAGTTTGTATGCCACTTTTATCTATTTTTGTAAACGAAATCTATTTCTTCCCTGGACATTGAAAATTTAAATGCAGTGTATAATGAAATTGCATTACATGTATGTGCATAAAGTATATTCATATGTGTATTTTTGGCTTTTAGGTCATCTGAGATAATAATACGAACAGTGCACTTTAAGTTGGCATAGATAGTCGTGCTAGCCTGCAGTATAATGAAAACTACTAATACTATCCGCATACTTTGAAAGCTGATTCCATGGCAACGGGAAATTTGTTTTTCATCGATATTGTTGGCGATAAGGTCAGCACCTAATTTATTTGGGGTTGTAAAAGGCTTTGCAATAAATAAAAAGTCTGCACTATGAGAAACTTACAAATACAAGCGCAAACTAGCATCAACAACAGTGCAACATCGTCCGAAAATAGTGAGACTCAAAGTGTAGAGGACCATCAATCGGTTTTGCCACCAATCAATCGAAGTGCTGCTCTAATCAGGTGAGCTGTGAATGTAAGCCACGGCATAGCAAGGTTTCAACTACATTAATCTAAGAAGGCATCTTCAATTATTACTCACCTTAACTAATGTTAACTTAATATTGCTGCCTTTTAATGGAATATGCATTTCACTTTAATAAATTTATGCGAACATGTTTGGGTTAACTTTTTATTTTTGTAACTAAAATATAATTATTATTATTATTATTATTATTATAAATTATTAGCTGTCTCAATAATATTATTTACGCGCGCGAGCGGTCAGCTCTGCTCCAAGTAGAATCAGTGATATTATACAATGGGTTAGCTATTGAAAACTAAAAATAATGTCAAAAACGGAAGAAATTAGTTAAAGTGCTAAAGTAATTTTGAACTATTATATTAAAAGATCGTTAAGGAGCAAGAAAAAGTATCTATAAAAGAATAATACTCTCTATAAACGAGCCAGCGAGCTTTGTCTACTTTTATTTGTATTTGTCTTCTAATAACATATTACAAAGATTGCTTCTATTTCAATCATTTAGAGCGAAAACTAGCTGGAAACGAATGAAAGATCTTGCCTCAGAGAAAGAAAAAGAAAATGAAGCCAAGCGACCTCCATGGCGTGCCGTTAGCGTATCAACTCTTCCCAAACCGGATAAGAATGCATTGCTTCGTGCTAAATTACTCGATGCGTCCAGGTTCGCATGAAAGACACTTCTATAACCTTTTAAACTTTATTTCGATTTTGTGCAAACTGGACATGTAGGCGTTTAAGGGCCGGCAAATCAAATGTGTCTGTTCAAACCGATTTCATTCCCGTCAAGTTGATGAAGGAAGCCACAACAAGTGCGCAAGATGATTTAATCTTACTGAGAGACATTGGTATATTAACGGATGGCCAATATTCGATTAAAAAGGATGGGTTTCAGCAATGTAAACTTAAAGGTGTATTACCAATTTACTTTACGTAGCATTAAAAGGTTTTTTGTGTTGCAGATGTACTAACATATTCTGTGTCCCAGATGACCGACTGCATTGAGAAAGCAAATGTCTCAACACAAACGCTTTTGCCAAAAGCATTCCAGAGAAGCGTCAGTAATCCGTGTCTATTAGAATTTAAGAACCATGACAAGGATGACAGTAATGAATCTCATCGTAAACAACCGCATCAAATTAACCATATGCTGCGCGACTCTACCTTAGCCTCGTGGCACTTTGATGACGACGCTCTTGAAATGGATGTCACGCAGCATTTTATTCCATATACTATTGAGCCTCTTAAGCCATGGCGAAGTTTCGTACCAATTCCATTTTATTTAAGAGGCCACAGCATGGTCGGCAGGCAGAAGGTCGACTGGTATTTTCTGCTTCAGTCCATTGATGATCTCATTCGAGAATCAAATAATTTACTGGACGGGCTGCAAAAAGTAATACAAAATAATATAAATATTCAGCATCAGCGGATGCATAAAACTTTGGATGAGATAAGAAAGTTTCATCCAAGTGAATTCCAATTCCCTTCTGATTATTGGTTGCCCATAATTGAGAAACAAGAAGTGCAGCTACAATTACTTCTCAACTCAAAATAAAGCAACAATGTATACTTACATAAAAGGAGAATTAGTCTCTCTGAGTAAACAAATTAGAAACAGTACACTGAAATACAGTCTCTTGGAAAGCCAGCTACAATTAGAATTAGTTACTTTGTTTATTTACTATTTCTATAGATTCGCTAAATGTAAAATGACAAATTTGTTTGATGCACTTGTTGTTTCATATATGTTAGAATATATTATGCTTTATAAAATATTTACAGATTAGTTTCTTGTAATCTTTAGCAAATTTAAGTTGGGTCGCAAGCCAGACGTCTTAAGGGATGCGAATGTCTGTTTTACATTATTTTTAGGATGTTCGGATTGTTATGCACTTCACATATAATAAAAATATATAAAAAATAAAATACTTTTTTTTATTAAGAAAAGATTTTGTAACATATGAAGCTTTCTGCTTAACGTCCATTGATTATTTGCAATAACTTTCTCATAATATAATCTGCTGCTATATTTATGAACTTTTGCATTTAAGATTCGTCCTCATTTCCTGCAGACTTTAATTTTGTAGGTTTTTGTTTCTTGGGTAAGAGTTTCATTAGAATGTTGGTGGCCGATTTACTATTTAATGGACACGATACGTAAAGCTCTTCGCAGCTCCTATCGTTTGTTTCCTTTCCGTGATCCAATGCCTCCTTTATTGCAGTACCGTCCAATAGGTAGTCCACAAGAGAATTCCTTCAAATAAAATTAGAAACAACACCAAAAGTGCTCATAATATATTGATAACTACTACCGGATATTCTTGTAGATAGTATTCAATTGCATTTAAGTAAATAAATAAATAAATTTATAAATTTATATACACATTTTCATAAATATCAGTATTTTTCATGTTTTCAGCAAGAAAAATATGAAATATAGATAATTATCATTAAATATGTAACATATTTTCTAAACAAAAATGTGTTACTTTTTGTAAGGCCAAAAATAGCTCTAACATCAATCCGTTTGAATCGTACTATAAACAATTTATATTTAGATATATGTTTCACTCTTGCCGTACGCAAACTAATAAACAAATATTTATGTATAACATTCTTTAGCTTACCCGGACAGCATGTGAATGAATTCATCCATCTGATCGGAGACTCCGGACTTTATATTATTCTCTGTCGACCGAATATAGCCACAGACAGCGCGTTGCATGCAACTAGTTGAGTCGATATTGTTTTGGCCAAGCACATTGTCAATTTTGTTTATCATACTGCTGAGAGACGCTAAGTCATTGTCGTCCTCGCCTACATGAATATAAAGAATGCGAATTTTCTAGATGAGTAGAATGCTTAAAATAAATATTTTTCACTTACTACGTCCATAGCCGCCGTAACCTCCGTGAAAGGCGGATAGTATTTTAGGTATGAGAATTATCGCACCAATGCCAACAAGTGTTCCCAGCACGACTCCGCCAAGATCCAGTTTAATTGGATTATATGCTGAAAGTCCAGAGCTACTTGGATATCCCTATGTTTTAAGGCATAAATATAAAACACACATTATATCAAATAATATAATATATAAATGTTAAGTATATGTAATGTTTTAAGGTTTCTAGTCTATAAAATTATACAATAAAGTGTGTGAAAGTAAGAATGAGAGACATAATAGACATACATTTAAGCTTCCATATCCAGTGGTGTAGCCTAGGCGCTCTAGCCTGTCTTTTGTTGATGCAGTCTCCGGTTCCTTTAGCTGAGTTCTATTTTCATTGGGGTATGCTCGACTCCATTGCGTATTGTCGGAGTAAGGTCTGGAGACAAAAAACACTGACAATTAGATTACATTTCAAGAGATGCACACTTCCAATAGCATGATAATATGATATTGGCGTTGTAGCTCAAGGCTTTTCTATCTGTAAGCACTGAAGACATTTATTCCATTTGAGGACCAAATGTATTTAGTTGACATTTTGCGGTACAATTTTACTATAAGTTATCGATGATTAGAAGTGAGCTTCATTTCATCCGAAGTGAGACTCTATAAAACTGACAACAAGCACTTTTATAATTGCTTGGGTTTTAATTTCCATAGATGCAGATAACAAAAAACTAAATTCCGCCACTATTAATTGAATATCTTTGAGCTAACGTATATTCGCTGTAAATGTTTTCATTCGAACATTTATATTGAAAGCTTACTTTGGTTTATTATCCAGCTTTGGTATCGCTTCTGCAAGGCTTAGTACGAGCAATATGCAAGTTAGCTTCAGGTGGGCTTGGTATTTGGTATCCATTTGAATTCCTTTAAAAGAGTCCTTATTTGATGACTTGGAGTTTAAGTTTGAACACAACTCTGCGACTTGAAGATTCAAACTAATAACTTTTAATATATCCACGCGTTATTTATATTTAGATGTGCACAAAGAAACCAAACTAACTATGTTTCATGCGTTACTTAACGAGTCCCGCAATTTGTCCAATTTATAAACCTTCAGACAGGTGCTTACTATTATACGGTTTGTGCATGTGTTAAACATGCCTATGCATATACTCGTATGAGTGTAGCTGGTTGACGCGCTTAAAAGGCACTAAGTTAAAGAGGAAGCCAGTGTAGCACAACGACAAGTTATTACATCCAAGTGAGAGTGTTCGATTCAGGGAGGACCGACTAAGATTTACTCTTCAATTGCGATAATCATTTGTTTTCAAATTTCCAAGTTGAGGAAGCTGCTAAAAATCCCGTTGAACAATATTATTCTAGGTACAATATATACATATATAGTTGTGCCGAGTCGGTGAGGATATTTTGATATAAAACAAACTTAAAAAAAGAAGAGTAATAGAGACTACAAAAATTACACCTGCTCATATGAATACACTTACTGCTAACTTTATAAGCAAGCCATACTCAATTTGGTTTTCAAAATCATTGCAACAGCCTAGCGCAAAGAAGTTACACATAAATATATACATATGTATATGTATATTTGGTTTGTATGTATGTGACAATACAATTTTTAGCGACACTAAATTACAAGATAGTTAGGTATGGCTTTGGGTATGTCTTTGGCTGTAGTTGCAATATGTGGAAGCTTTTGCACTTGTAACTCGCACAATCTTTGGATGCAGTAGACCAAGAAATTTCTGGTATTGAGTCACTGACTCTTGCGCTACGCGACTTCCTATTAAATACTTATATGACTGTTTTCATTTTCATCAAAGTACCCAGTACTAGTACCTCTGTCCTCGAAAACTTGCCTAGCTTTGTTAATGCCATCATTTAACATGATCAAATTAATGACATGGCATCATCGTTGTTATTCATTGACTTCTCCTTAATGCTTATTATTTTATAATAAATAATTTTAAAAATTTCAAATTGCTTCAGCAATAAGCTTTTCTATCTATCTCTATGATATGTGCAAGATGAAGTTCTAGTATATATTTTTAGATGTACATTCATGGATAATAAGTTTATATTCCTCAGTTCCGCAAATCGGAAAACAGCACCTTAAATACATTCCGACGTTCTTAGAATATATAGAATGAGTATCGGGCAGTCGGCTGCGACCGACGGAAACGTTTTGATTAATTATTAAAATTGAAATATACAAATATTTTAAGACAATTATAGAAACTAATTTGCGCATTCACAAGTCCCTAATGAAAGGTTCCCTAAAGTTACCATTTCAAATCAGATTTTGCTTATATTTCGTGCGATCTATTTTATAACGACAAACTGTTGGAAAAATTCGCTTTTCTTTATTGCCTTTATATAAATTCAACAAATTTTTTAAACGTCAACGCGTTTTACGTCACATTTCACAATAATTTAGTAGATCAAATTTTGAAAATTAGTTTTTTACACTAAATTCCAATTTAAAATGTATATAATAAAATGGGTTTTGACTTAGAGCGCATTTGTTGTCTACCACCATCTAGGTATGTATCATATGTATTATATAGATGCTATTGAGAAAAATCATCGTGGTTTTGCAAAGATAGCTATGAAAGCACGACAACATTAGATTTCTAGTGGTGCCGATCTAATATCTACATAGTCATCTTGTATCAACGCGTGGATCCCGGTAACTACAAAAGTTGTAGATTTCAAACTTATAGCTGCTATTTGCCCAATCAGCTATTACCATTATCATCTCCATACTTTCATAAAGTTGTGCATATTTAGCCTGCAGTATACTCAATTTTGAATTCCATTTATTTATATAATTTATATAAGTAAACAAGAATGTTGAAATACGTCCAGCAGTCCCGACTATAGCAAGCTTTCCCAATTAATCAAACCTCGAAGACATGAGACCTTGAAAAATAAACTTTTGTGTCTGCATATATATTTGAATGGCACTAAGATCTGGGCCATTTTATAAAAAACGAGAGTGCATATTTATTACAATCCTTTAATTGTTTTTTTTTTTATTTTTTTTTATCTACTTTAAAGCAGTTCGTCTAGTACAACCAAAATTTTTTGCAACGATAATTACAACAAATGCAGTCAATGCTGTTGCTATCCGTGCTGTAGACAATCCCTATTGAATGATCATAGCTATTCACTACTAAAACGGATTTGCCATAAGATAATCAAAAGTTATAACCGACAGCAGTGCCGTGAAAAGTATAGCGTATTTAATGGAGGTAACAGTATCAATGGTCGATGCTCTGACAGTCAAAAATGTAAGTCATGATATAAGTAACTAGCGAGCTTTTAATAAATTTCAAATGTTTGCAGACGATTCTTATTCTAAAAACCAGTATGGCGATGGTGAAGGGGGCTACGGCAGGGATTCACAAACAGGAAAAGGAAGAGGAAGAGGAAGCTTTGATTTGAAGGCACAAGGTAGGAATCCATCTAATAAGAAAGGCGGCAAGGGTGATGAATTCGGATCTCAAAATGCATCCAAGAACGGAGATCCAAAAGGGGAAGGAAAAGTGAACTTGGCTGCAATGTCAAGAGGGGAGAAAGATTCAAAAGGTAAAAGAGGAGATGCTGATGACAGTGACCCTGCAAAAAAGTCGAAAAAGGAAGGCAAAGGTGGTGATGGTAAAGGTGGTGGAAAAGACGCCGATGACAGTGATCCTTCAAAGAAATCGAAAAAGGATGGTAAAGGTGGTGGAAAAGATGCCGATGAAAAAGATACTTCAAATAAATCAAAAAGGGCAAGCAAAGGAGCTGATGGTAAAGGTGGCGGAAAAAATGTCGACGACAGCGATCCCTCAAATAAATCGAAGAAGGATGGCAAAGGAACTGATGGTAAGAGTGGTGGAAAAGATGCCGATGATAGCGATCCTTCGAAGAAATCTAAGAAAGATGGCAAAGGAGCTGATGGTAAAGGCAGTGGAAAAGATGCTGATGGTAAAGGCGGTGGAAAAGATGCTGATGGTAAAGGCGGTGGAAAAGATGCTAATGGTAAAGGCGGTGGAAAAGATGCTGATGGTAAAGGCGGTGGAAAAGATGCCGATGGCAGCGATCCTTCAAGGAAATCTGCAAAGGATGGCAAAGGAGGTGATGGTAAAGGGGGTGATGGTAAAGGTGGCGGAAAAGATGCCGATGACAGCGATCCTTCAAAAACATCAAAACATCAACAAAAAGAAAGAAAAGACGATAAACTTAACGAATCTGGAAAAGGAGGCAAGAGTAAAGGAGATACGAAAAGTTCAATAACAGCAGATGGTATTACAAATAAAGAGAAGAAAGGTAAAGATAGTTCCAGGGATAGTACAATGAAGAAAGGAAAGGGAACGTCAGCAGACGAACAGGACATTAGTTCAAAATCTGAAAAAGGTAAAAAGGGAAAGGATGAAACTGGGCGACCATCTCAAGCTGATAAGAGAGGGAGCAGAGATGGAAATGAACGTGGCCGTGGATCAAGGAGATCGGGGGATAAATCTAGGAATGGCAGCAGATTGAGACTCCGAAAAGGTAACATGGGATCGAAATTCACGCACAAAGGCGGAAGATTTGGCAAGCCAGACTATTCTCATAGACAAAGTCGCTATGATGAAATTCGAGCCTGCGATTTCCTTCGTGTACATTTGGAAAAGCGTGACCTCTCAAGATGGTATTGTCTCACAATATTTTTTTATCCGTACATATTCACCTATCTAAAACCTTTTTCAGTTTCACATGCAATCGGAATGCTTGTTGCGATTCGTGTTCACCATGCATGCCGTGCTAACCTGTTATGTATTGAGGAATATTGGATAGGGATTGGTGCCTAAGAGCCGAAAACGTGTTATACGTACATAGCTGAAAAAAAAACTTTAATCAATTCCCAATAATTTTGTTAGCTTGAAGGGTTTTTGGACTTTTTATAATTTTTTGAGGGTTATCCATAAGTGTTTTGACTCGGCACAAATATTCAACATCATAAAATAAACTAAAGTATCAACTATTGGATTGGTACTGACCCATCCGTGTGTTTCCCTATGGAACTTCTGAATTATTTAAGCATTCTAAACATCATATTTTCAGCTGCATGTTTGTGTCTATGCGAAAAAGGATATTTGTAAGTTCCACACTTCTTTCAACGGCATATAAGAATGTATAGCGGCCCGCAGCTTCTGTAAGACTGCTGTATAGAAAGTGATTTAGCTGAATTTTCGGTAACATATATAAATACGTAGTCTAGCTAATTGATTTCATTTAATAGGTGGATTTGTGGATTAGGTAAATTTATTTTGGATTACAGCTAGACACAGCACTTGTATTTTTAAAAGGCTAGTTTAAAATATCTAGACCTAGTCAAGTTTCTACAAAATCTGAATACGAAGTTTATCTTTCCAGATTTGGCATATAACAAACAATAATAAATCCTATTTCTAAAACTGTGGAAGACATAGTTGTTTTCGTCTATTAATTCTTTTAGTTGTAGTAACATAATTTTATCTGGGGAGCATTTCTTTTAATTCGTGAACGTATATATTAAATTACTTTGGCCGTGAAAAGGCTAGTAATAGCCCGAATGTCTTATAATGACATCTAAAACAAAGCAAAACAAAAGTATTAAAAATGTCTAAGGCTAAATTCTTAATTTATTTATGGAATCTGATTAAGGTTAATGTCATTAATATATTGTCCTTGCTTTTTATTTATAAATCTGTTTTTGGATATAAATATTATTAAAATATAAATAACATACATACAAATGGAGTATGAATTCTATTATACATCTGAGAGCCTTGACTGAATGTATTTCTATGTCATTCGGTATGTGTGAATACACTTACTATGTAAACTATGTACTCGACTAGATGCTACCACGTCTTCAATAATGAAATTATACTTCACAAAATGTATTTTCAATTTGAAATATATATATACATATATATATATATATATATATTTATATATATAGAGGACTATTTGCGGCTATAAATTTATGGCGCGAGTAGTCATCCCAAGGTTATTCTCATATCAAATTAATTATAAGAAATGCATGTGTTTATTCACCTGATTTACATACCGTCATACTAATTACTGTATTCCAATTTTTCCACATTTCATTTCCAATCGTATGTAGAATATTCTTACTCACGTTTATACTTAGTATGTATACATGTATATACACTTTAAACATTTAGGTGTTTGTATATTTATGTACGATCTTATAAATATGTGTGCGTGTGCAAAACGAAAAATATTAGAGCTTTACATTTGCTAAAAAAATCCTACGCTCTTCAGTGACATGAGAGATTGAAATTTTTGTTATTCCAAAAATAAATGTATTAAAGCCAACGAAAGAGAGCAAGAAAGAGTGAGAGCAAGAAAGAGTGAGAGCTATTCAGATACATATTTGTAATAGAAAAATTATAAGAAACCATTCCATCTAGTTCTCTAGCAGAACAACTCGAACGGGCATCAAGTTAAGAACACGAAAAGACGAGAACTTGAATCGAAATTAAAACGAATAAGTGATTCTTTCTGATTTTTACATTTTATTTGAAAATTAAATATTCAAAATGGTTTACGAAAGTGGATTTACAACCCGTAGAACTTACAGCTCCAGACCAGTGACAACGTCGTATGCTGTAACGGTAAGTTTCAAATATGCTAGTCACGCGAATAGGATATCTCGTAATCTGGGAGAAAGTTTGTAGTGAGGTTCTCAATTCATAGAATCTGTGAAATTCATCTGTGCGGACAAATATATTTATTTATTGGGACTTGTGCAAAAGAATGAGTTATTAAAATACCCCTCCCAATGGAACAGATAAATTGAACATTTTATGAAATGAGTTTCATTACAACCTCTCAATCAAACTCCTTCTCAAAGTGTACTTCGAATTATTATGGCTTACCTCCCACTTGCTGAGTTCCGCAATTTCATTAAAAAAGTGCAGCTAGTAAAGAAATTGAAACACGTTTGAGCACAAAAGTAACTTATAATCTAGCCTTAATAAATGTCTCACATATGAATATCGTATCAGGATTAAAAAGTCAAAGTGTGTATAAGAGAAGAGTGCATGCCTAAAGCTTATATAAGTAAATAAATAATATTCATTTATATTCGTATATCATATATACGTACAGACTATATGTGTCTTCCTATGGATTTTTAAAATAAAAAATACAATATAAAATTAATCAGTTTACACCAATTACATTTATGCAGCTGTGGCCATATAAACCCTTAATAAGCTACACTATCCGAAGACTTTCGATAATTTTTTGTATAACATAGACATAGACAACTAACAAACCTTTCACTGAATATAATCAAATTGTTAAATGGTAAAATATATGAAAGAACATATTTTAAAAACCAACAAAAAAATTAAATAACGCAAACACCCTTATTTTTACATCACCTTGGATCGAATTTATTGAGTATATTTCAAGGTTGTGTCTATTTTCTCTATCGTTATAATATCTAAAAATTTTGTGATTTGTCATAGACTCAGCCAACATCATTGGCGATCGTGCAAATAAAAAAAAAGCTCTTCTGCTCTCAAATTCCAAATTTAGCTCTGTGTGTATATACACCCATGTTAAAATTCACATAATTCTGTATGTACATCTTGACCGACAATTATTGTATATAGAGATATACACATATTTGAAAGTGGATTACTGACTTAATTCGCAGCTGCTAAGTTTTTGAAAATTAAAAAATATTCTCTTTGCGCCTGTGTATACGGCGATATATCTCACAACTCAACAGTTGATGTTTTTCTTGATTGTTTTCTATTCATATTTCGTTTATCCTTCAAATGTTTATGCATCTTACATATGGAGGCAGACACATAGACACATCTTTCTTTATGTACATAGGAAAGTACACACATTGTATCTACACAAACATGTGTGTAATATAAGCTGTTTGCGCATTTCAGTTTCGGGCTGATCTAAAAATATATTTTTTGATTTCCAAAATACATTTAAATCAATGACGGCAAAATGGGCAGAGAGACTGTAGTAGGCGTTAAGAAAACCAGATAAACAGAGAGAAAAATATGAATTTTAAAAAATTTAATCTAGCTAAGACTGCAAATACAAACATATCTGAACTGAAGCTGACAACCTGGTTCTAATTACCCACTTATAAATATAATGTGTATTTTTGTACAAAATATTTGTTATTAAAATGAACACTTTACAATTGTTAACAAAAATAAAACATATTAACAACAATTTCATGTATATATTCCATTATCAAACACCCAGCAAATTAAGTTTTGTGGGAAGAACATTTTGTGAACTCCTCAAATGCAAATAAACCCAATGTAAATAGATCATAGAACTGGTACCACAATTAATTTATTAACCATCCATGGACCACCTATGCTTGTACATAAGCTGAGCATTGATATATCTCTATACCTTCACACCCACATGACTCATGTGCACATGCACATGTGTACATGTTTACATGTGTATGTACACCTGCATGTCGAGTTCATGGATAAATGCTTGCATGGAACATGGATCGCGAGTGTCGCCGATGAATGTGGTGTCCCAGCTGCGCAAGCACGTCGCACAACAATTCTGCACTGCATATGCTAATAACGTAAACTTAGCTTTCGAAATTTAAACCCACCTGTGTGACATTCTGGGCATTGCAGAAAACAAACAGACCACCAATTGACTGGGAGAAAGTTCCTTTCGTGCCACGGCCTTCACTCGTCTCTGATCCGGTGACTGCTTTTGGAATGCGTCGGTCGGACTATGAGCAGCGCAAGCGATCAATACTCGATCCAATAAACAGGGCCGCTATAAAACCTAACTATAAGATTGTCTATCAGCCCATTGAGCCGTATGTGCCGACGCGCGATAAGAATCGCTCGCGCATCCTGAGCATGGTGCGCCAGCACATCGACACTGTGGAAGCCGGTGGCAATACAGCAGCTCGCACCTCTCGCGATTCCCTCGATAGTCAACTTCCGCGCCTGCATCGAGCTGTTTCCGAAGGTCTGCCGGTGCGCCGAGAGACCTATCGCAATGAAAAGTCGGGTGCTATGGTCACAAAGTACTCTTATTAATTAACCGATAGCGAAAGAAAACTCTTCAGCGAAAACTGATCAAACCGAAATCGAATTGCACGAATTGACTAAACAGTCTCTACTATTACAATTAGGACACACCACGCACATGACCATGTATACATACCTTCAAATGTAAATTCAAATATATATATACTAGAGTTCACATACAACCAAACAAAAGATCTGACACTCTGTTCGTTTTGTATCTAATATTGCCAATAATACATCTTTCATAATACATGCCACACGAGTTTCTATTTTTGTTCTTATTATTATGTTAAAACCAATAGAATCAAAGTATGATAAGATACGAACCTGTTTCAATTTCCTTTGATAGGGACTAGGACTAGATTGACTAATCTATATATGAAAGAAATTATAATGGTATTCAAGTAACTGTCATATTTTCATACATTAAATTTTTTTTTCTTGAGGCTGGTCCGCTAAATATTTACACATGCCTTAATTTGATCAAATCTGAATTGACCTCCTTTTTCGGAAGTCTATTTTATTGCATAATCATTATCATTGATTTTTGGCGGGCCAGCCTTCATTAAAAATGCCCTTCATTTAAGAGAATAGTCGTTGTGGAACAGCAAGTTAGCTTATAGTTGCATAACTCTTTTATGCTGATTGCCAATTTTTCACAATTTACAATTCTCACCTAAATGCATAAATCGGAATTTGTAGACTCCACGCTTAGACCTGTGCACGGACAGGCCTGGCTCGCATCGCAGCCGCGCCTCCTCGGACTACTCGTACACCTCAAAGTCGAGTGTTGAGAAAAGCAGTTATGACTCAAGCAACCCGTACGCCAGGCCTGAGCGTTCCACGTACTCCTCCACTGTCGAGAGAACATCGCGTAGCGGTCCCGGCGGTGCCTACAATTATAGCACCGAGCGGACCAGCACAACTGGCGCTGGACCCGGTGGCTACAGCTACTCGTCGACCACGACTGGAAACTTGCCTGGCGGCACCAAATACCGTCACTTTTCGTACCATGTCTAAAAGTGAAGATTTTACGAAATCAATAGCATAAATGGTTTATGTGGCTACAACTTATTACACTAATCGTTCCGCTAAAATTGTTTTGTTATTTGTAATGCAAGTTGTAATACCTAACCAGATACATACGTATGTACATGATATGTTTATATTATATACCGGAATTGTGTAAAATATTCGAGTTGACTAACATAACTAATAGTTTCTTTGATTGTTAATGAGATAGACAGACAATCCGTCTATGATGTATTTACCCATCACCTAAATCATTTATAGTTTCAAAGTATTTGTGATACAATAAAATGAAATCGCGTTCACCCAAAACAAACATAAAATAAACTTTTTTGCATATGTACAAATCTACTGCATTATGTTATTTCAAATACGATATTCATATGAACAAGAAAGGATGATGCCATCGATTAGACACTCTTTGGAACATAAATTCATAGTTTGCCAATATTATATAATGTGGAGTTCAGATCTCAGGGAGTGGGCTCTCACACAAAATGAACACTAAACTATTCTCAATGTTGTATAATTCTTTTTCAGTATCCGTCTGTTCAGAGTGTGACGCGAGTAAGTACATCCAATCATTGATTTCATTGCTCATGAGTTGCTTGTCATCCACATCTTTAATGTTTTTCAATTATTTCAATTAAATTTTACTATCACTCTGCTCATACTTCAATCACTTCATCGTCACCAGGATTCATAAGTGGTTAGTATAATACATCATAAATACATATAAACTGCAGCCTGATACCAATTTGCGTCCCACATAAAAGGAATATGAAATTGAAAGGAATATCTGGCATTAGCTACGTTAGTTAATTTAACACTTAACATTAAATGTTGTATTTGTATAGGGCTCGCCAAAGTATCGATAGATTTATTTTTTTTATGTATATTCTTGAGTATCGATTGAAATAATAATTTATGCTATATTTTACATCCTAATGTATCATAGAGATAGGATGAATGCAGTTTGGACCATTAATAGGAAGAAAGCACTTCTGTAGTTTATCACTCCGCGATCTACGAATTCCACAATTTAATATAGGATCTGTAATAGCTAAACGTATCATCACCAACAGTCAACATGGAGTCTAGTGACTCCAGTGGGAGGTGCACCCGTGTGATCTTTTAGAAATACCTACATCTAGTTCTTCTTTACGCATTATTGTTGTTTATTTTTATTGTTGTTTGCTATTTTCTATTATTTATGTTTCTTGTTATTTGATTTTTTCTTGTACTATTATCACTCTCTCTACTTCGCTCTCATGTATCCTCTTGCACAGTCGATGTTATTTGATTATTTAATATTCTACTAACTGATGAAATTGCTAAATATACCAGGTATACAAATCGAGCTATCCAATCTACTCGAGTTATTCCATCCCAAGACGTGTCATCAGTGGAACACGCGTTATTGCATCGCCTGTTCGGGTTGTTACCTCTCCCACCCGAGTTTACTCGCGCATTGTACACTCTCCGTCGCCTGTGCGTGTTGTGCGTACTACAACACGTGTAGTTACATCCCCGGAGAGAACGTCTTCCTACACCTATACCACGCCATCGACATACTATAGTCCGACCTATTTGCCATCGACATACTACTCTTCTGCCTATATCCCGACATCGTATACAACATACACGCCATCGTACCATTACACCCCAACAACTGTTACACGTGTTTATGCTCGATCGGGATCCCCGGTAAGGATCACCACATCTCCGATACGTTCAACACCTTCCTATCTGAAGAGACTTCCTCCTGGATATGGCGCACGGGCCTTAACTAATTATCTCAATACCGAACCTTTCACCGTAAGTTTTGGGAGGTTAATATCAAAGTGTTCGCTTCTTTTGTTCAATTGAACTTAACTCAAAAGTTTTAAGATGACAGTTACCCGAAAAGTTTTTTGAATTCATAATCATTTAAATATAGACCTTTTCGGAGGAAACGGGAAGGATACGTAATCGCGCACAATCATTGATGCGGGACTTGCACACTCCCGTCGTTCGCCGTGCACGAAGCTGTACTCCGTTTCCAGTGACTGGGTAAGTTCGCCTTGTTCAGTTGGTTGTTATTTTATATGTGAGCGACGTTTTGAAAATTGATAAAAATGAATTCGATTATACATAAACTGTTTCATTAAATATTAGCCAGAGTAATAACTATATTTGTATATTTGAATTCTGGCAGAATTTTACCATTTATAAACAAGATGCATTTAGTTACTATTGAAGCTTTAGACATCTCAAACGTGATGCATATTCAGCTTACATTATTACAAAACATACCATATTATTTGCTTTATAGTAACCTTTTTACTTCTATCTATGTATGCACTCGTTGCAGTGCTTTAATGCTTAATTTTTGATCAACGCCTTCTTGAAATATTTAGCTTATTTCATATGATTGAACATTCCTTAAAGTGGCAACTCTGATAGTTTTATTTAGAAAGATATAGAAGGAGTGAATCATATAATGGAATTTATAAGTGAAATTACCAAATAAAATTAACATTTTAGGTATTCTTACGAGCCGACTTCTCAATTGGCCTTAGACGCCTATGTTGCTCGAGTTACGAATCCGGTGCGTCATGTTGCTAAGGAAGTTCGCAATATATCGCACTATCCAAAGCCAGCAGTAAAATATGTTGGTGAGTAATTGAATGGAACTGTTTGTGTAAATAAATAAAATTTAAATGTTGCCTCTAATACACTTGGATTACTATTGTGGTATTAAATATAGTGTGATAGCAATTTAGTTGCAACCTGCATTGTTTTTAAAATCGTTATTAAATGCCGTTCTCTAAATATTAAATAATAAGGTCAAAGTCATCTAGCCTCTGTAAGGATATGTGGCGATAAGGCTTATAATATTAGAAGACCTATGTACGATTCGGACAAAGTTCGAAACGATATTAACCTTTTGTCCTGGTACCTTAGACACCCGACTTGGAAGAACGAGAAAGAAAGCAATATTGCTCGTCAGGAAGGTAAGTTCCGTTTTAAACGGATTTTATGTACTACTGGCTTGTGAGTGGCATCTGTATAAAGCGACAGTGAACTAGTGATTCCTCCACTCATGATCATCTAACTAAATCATTTTTATTTGGAACTTCCAGCTAAAGTAGCGATCTCTTAAATGCATCTCGAGTATTCATTTCTCTTCCAAATAATAAGAAAAAATTCATTTGTATTCATTTAAAGTTTGCATAATTCTCAACATATTTATATATACAAATTTGCCATTTCCTTGTTTTTATATAGGAGCGAACGCAATCCGAATAATTTGTAACTAATGCATATGTTTCTCGCATCCTGACTAGTTCTGTTCCGTGTACTTGACTAACCTAATACGTTTTATGATTGATTGATTCTTTCCAGTTGAAGCTGTTGAAGTTGAGGCCTAAAAGATAACATGCCTGACTTTATAAAATATGGACATACACATTATTATACTTTAAATAAATAAAACAAAAATGAAAAACCAACTTATGTTTGCCTGTTAGTATATAAAGCCGATATCAAAAATATAAACTCGCGATATCAGCAGAATCAGACGCTTTGAATCCAGACTAACGTGGAAACTAATACAAACTTCTTCAATGAAAGATTCATTACGATGCTCTGATGAATCAAAATCTATACTAATATTTCGAAAAACCTAACCACAATTTAAATTATATGTTACATTTTGAAATAGCCCATTGCATATTATATTTGTGTAACATATGTATATTTCAAATCTAAGCAATGAACTTTGTATTTCTCTTACTGATTGAATATTACAGGCATTTAGAAAATACACTCAACATTTACTTAATTTATGTATCCTGTCTATCTCAATGTATGTGAGCGTCTATATTGGAATTGTGCAGTGTATTTTATATTGAATGCCATATGCTCAATGATACTGTTATATGTATATACACATATACACATATTTATGTAACACAGACATAAAAATATAAATTAAAATATTAAAATATAAATGGTTTGTTTGACAAGCGATAAGCGATGGGCACTAAATACTATTTTAAGATGGTTTCAGTCTCATTTATATATCCTCCTTTGCTCTTTATAGATACTTGTATATACATATGTATATCATATGGCCAATGGCCAATAAATGACTAACAAATCTCGTGAGGACGTTGATGACCTTGACCTACATTCTTAATAATTGGATCGATTGAATCACCCTTGTAGCAGCCCACGTTGCTACAAAAGCAATATTACCATTTTCATTTTTTACAATTGAGATTTCATATACAGACAATATAAAGAGCGTTGAAGATAAGTTTTATCTAACATTCCATAGTTCAAGTTCTTCATTCAAATATACCTACACATATACGTTTTCGGTATTCATACAATTGATAAAAATATATTTTAGATTTTGAGACAGGCATGAAATTGACGGCCTTAATCGATTTTATCTTTAAGGCAAGCTTTTAAGGCATATGAATGATAGTTACATATAAATCATTGATAATATTATTTAGGAAAAAAACAGTACACTCTCTGCCTGACTAAAGATCAGAGAGATCATAGCATAACATTTGCACTTACACTCTATGCACGAGTTATCATTGCGGGTCTTTTGTACATACAGACATTGTTCGTTTTATATTTAGCTAACATACGCAATAATCTCAGCTCTAACTACTGGCATATACACAAATATTTCTTTTGTACATTCAAATCAAGTAAAAAACAATTACTCTATTACTGGAGTCTTTTTATCTGAAAATCTCCACTATTGAAGTATAGGCCACTATCCCAGCAATTACAATGAGTAAGTACATTTGAATATTGAATATTGAATATTTTAAATTTCATGAACAAATATCAATATTTATATATAGATTTATATTTATATATAAATGCGTGACTAACACAATTAATAGTTCTCATTTTTATTGGGTTGAAGTAGTTGAGTTCTACTCAAAATAGCATGTCTGACATATGTTATAACCAGATTTGGCTTTCAGATCCCGATTTGGATCCGAATCGCCCATCAAGAAAATTTTCTGCTCCCAGACCCCTGGAAGATGCTATTGATCTGGAATCGAAAGAGAAGCAACGTCTACGCCAGGAGCGTCTGCTGACTGTAAACGAAGAGGCTGTGGATGAGCTTGAAGTGGAGAAAAAACGAGCTCAACGGGCTGCTGATGAAGCAAAGCGTCTTGAAGAGAAGTAATCGAAGCGTACTTTAATAATAGTCTAAGATGGTTCAAATAATTGATGATTGATTATTACAGTGCCCTTAAGGCGAAAAAAGAACGTGAGGCTGCTGCGAAAAAGGCCTTAGAAGAAGAAGAAGCCAAAAAACAGCGGGCTGCTGAAAAATTGGCCGAAGAGCAACGATTAATTCAAGAAGCCCGTCTTGCTGAGGAAGCTCGTCTAGCCGAGGAAGCAGCCCAAAAGTCGGCAGCAGAGCAAGCAAAACTGGCTGAGGAAGCGGCTGCACGTAAAGCTGAGGAAGAACGATTGGCTGAAGAGGCCCGTCTTGCTGAAGAGGCTCGATTGGCGGAGATAGCTGCTCAGAAAGCAGCTGAAGAAGCCAAAGCTGCCGAAGAAGCTGCAGCACGTAAGCTTGAAGAGGAGAAGCGCCTAGCCGAAGAAGCTGCCCAAAAAGAAGCCGAAGAAGCTGCCCAAAAAGAAGCCGAAGAAGCTGCCCAAAGAGAAGCCGAAGAAGCTGCCCGTAAAGCTGAAGAAGACCGTCTGGCTGAGGAAGCTCGGCTAGAGGAAGAAAAACGTGTGCGGGAGCAAGAGCTGAGCCGCCTGGAAGAAATTGAAAAACAGGCCGAGGAAGAACGCGAGGGCGAGTTGGCACGTCAAGCAGCCGAACTGGCTGAAATCGCACGCCAGGAGGCTGAGCTAGTTGCCCAAGAGCTTCAATCCATTCAAAAGGAAGACAGAGCTGTTGATGAGTCCGTCGCCGATGAGCCCATAGTTGATGAGCCCGAAACTCCTGTCGCCGAAACTGAACAGGAGCCAATTATTGAATTGAATTCAAAGAGTGGAGAAACTGCTTTCGTATTGGAGAACGCTGCCGGCGAAGCTTACGTGGAAGATGCTGAATACGAAGAAGAAGAATAATCTCTTCTAACAATAGCTATTAATTGCGAACATACTCCCTATTCAATCCTCAAAATCTATTAAAATTCTCATTTTCGACTAAACCGAAACTAAACCCAACACAAAACTGCTTTTAGCAAGGACTAATGCTGTTAGGTACATATGTACAATGTTTATAAAATTAAACGGCCCCTATTGAATACAATTAAAAAAATCATTTTAGAATCCTTTATATAATACCTATCCCATCTGTTATAACTATATACATAACTGTATATATGCAGTTTTATAGTTATTATTAAATAAAGTTCACTTCATAAAATGGCTGAGTTTAGACATCACAAACTTTTCGGCCTGAGAAACTTAAGAAGACGAAATCTTTATTTTTTTACCGACCGTTTCTGAACAACAACAGTCTCCTGGTCTGATTCATATCTTATTTATTTACATGTATATTTACATATTTACATACAGATTTAAAAATTGCGAAGGTAATGTATTTGGCATTAAGAATACATATTATTTGCAATCGAATACCAAAAGTCAAAGCTATGTACGTCAGGCCTATTTACCAGTTTGGAAGATTTCAAAAGAATAATTTTAATCCTCAAAGTGATTAACTCTTCTAATGATGATGAATGAGATAGAAAAATGTAGGCTTCGATAATGTTGTCTATAGTGTACTGTTTGTTTATGATTCTAACGGTAAGAGGATACAACTTACTTGGTATACGCTCACCCATCCAAAAGCTATGCAGGTTTAATAAAATTTATTTAGAATTATACATATGTGGTTTTACAAGGTTTCAAACAATTAAACAAATATTTTAATACGTACAAAATTAATAAAACGCGTACCTTTAACATATGTTTATGAATCGGATTCGCAATCCACACAATTTGATTATGCCGAATTCCGAATTGGAAGATAATAAACAACTACAAAACACACTGTAAAGAAAAATAAAGTTAAAATTATATAAATGGTAGCTAATTGATTGATCGTTCTTTATTGTCGGTTGGAAATAAAGGTGAATTGCCGTTGACATTTCTGAATAAATTCTATCATATTTGAGAATTGATCATTTTAGATTAGGGCCCCGAAAACTGATAAGTATTATTAAAAAACACGTAAGAACGTTGCAGTCGGGCGTTACCGAGTGCGGAATTCTCATTCACATCCCATCAGCAATTTGGCAACTAAGTTTAGCTCTAATACTGTAGAAAATGCAACTAGCTAACGGTAATCTAACTGCAAAATTTGAATGCTTACGCTCAAAAAATGTGAAAATTACGTGTCCCTAAAGAGGTGCAAAAATTATTTTTGGGGCATCGATAGAGGAGGTTACCAGTAAGTTAACTAGCCAAATTATAGCTTCTAGCTTTTATACTTTAGGAGATTTAAACTTTGACACTATCCCTGTGGGCGGACATATATCCGTCGAAGCTTCTTGGTCTTGGGTGGTGTCCAAAATATAGCAGAATTTAAAAAATCACTATATCTTCAGGTCCTTCGACATATAATTTTGTCATTAGACTTTACAGAATCATAACATTAGCTTACTTGCAAAATTTCAGTGTTCTAGCTTTAAAACTCTTTGAGATACAGTTTTATCCGATTTGCCACGCCCTCAATGGACGTTGATATATCCACCATAGCTTGTTGATCTGGGGTGGTCGACGCGGATCTACATTCCAATTTTCAGCTTTCAAGCTCTTCAACTAATATGAGTTTTGGTATATCGGAAAATGCATTTTCTAACACTTAATAAATCGGAGATATACACGACGTATATCTTCCAAATGTCAAGTCTCTAGCTTCAATAGCGCGGACAAGACAGACATTGCACAAAACCAATATACTAATTCACTTTCGTGAATGAGTATAATTATAAATATTATAGATATTATTACAACTAGTGTTGATCTATGGTGAGTTAAGCATTTCACTATTACTTACCTATTAGAATCACAGAAAGCAATGCAAATGTCATGGTGCAGTATTGGATTAATATAATACCCATCAGATTTGTTGCTGCAATAATTCCAAGTCGCCCCAAAGACATACACAAGCTAACAGCTTTTCCTCTGAAATTGCAGAAATTACATTAAAAAACGATGTATGTATGTATGTATGTATGTCTGTGTGTGTAAGTTGGAATTACTTGATTATGTTTATATATTCAAATTATATCAATATCTTTAGAATTAGAATGTTGAGCCGCCAAATTATCATATTTTGTACGCCGTGTAACAAATATTAAATGCTATTATGTGATTATTAAATATATAGTCATAGTCCCGATTTTGTTCGTTTGATAGTTTTGCATTCACACATGAAAATATAACAGCATATAATTTATTACCTCAAATTTGTTGGGACCAGGTCGACAATGGCACCCAGCATAATAGATATTGATAGTCCAGGCAGAAGGATTACCAAGCAGAATAAGATCAGCACCACGATGGGATTTGAAACGAAATGTAGTAAGAGGCCGCTGAATATTGACAAGGCGAGGGCAGCCATCAAAACGTTCTTACGACCAATCGGGTTTAATATGACGCCTTGTATTAAGAAACCCACCAAAAAGGCCACACCCACTATCATATTGTCAATATAAGTATTGGTTGAAATTGCATCAGAGCAGATCTGAAAATAAAGAATGCTGAAATAATTTATCCAGAGTGTGGTTGATATCTTACATTGGTACTATTCATGGATTTGATTTGGCCTTGCTCGGGGCTGCTCAGTATTTCACAAACTGTAGAGCTTTGATTTCCTTCATTGGATGATCGGTTTACAATCTCTGGAAACCAAAGCTGTATTCCATTAGAGCTGAAAATAAATATATATGTTACAAATTTAAATTACATTTCACCAAGCCATGATGTATGTGTTTAAAAGCTCTTACAAATTTACATAAAGCTCACAAATTAATTGATGATATTGACAATATTGACAATATGATATTCTAAGTTTTGCATCGATTTGTTTTGTAAAAATTTGCCAATTGCAGTTGGTTACACTTAGCTATTTAATTTAAAGTTTTCTTTTTTATTGTGATTTGATGTGATTTAAAAAATGAAAGTATTTTTCTTATTCATACTTACCTGAAAAACATACAGAAGACAGCAACGTTACATAGCACGAAATTAAATCCATGCGGCTTATGAAACAAAGGCTTTGTGGCACGAGCGATGTTTGTGATTATATGCCAGCCTTTGGAATTCGATAGTATGTTTTCTTCAGTCTGTATCTCTGGCTTTAATCTGATTTCATTACAACTAAGAACTTGAGTAATGGATAATCCGCGATTGAATTTGCTGATCCAATCTACAGCGTTTATTGCCTGATCCTCTTTATCTTGAGACAGCAGATACTTGGGACTTTCGGGATAATGTAGTAGTACCAGTCCCCCAATAACTCCGGGTAAAAGCGTTAATAACATTAATAAACGCCATGGACGAAACACAAAGTCACCAACAATGGGAATACTCCAATCGTAAGATAATACTGCCCAAGCCGTTGCTGTAAATATATTAAAATTCAATATTTAATGTATGTAATTATAAATTAAGTGATAATAACAATAAATATGGTATGTACATGTGAACCTTAAAGGTTAATTCAGTCAGTTAATATGATTATTTCATTTTTGGAAATCTAGGAAATTTCTTGACTTCTGATCATCTACGTATCTAAAACAGCGTACTATTTAAAATTTTAGAGAGAACAAAAACACGTATATATGTAATATACTTATTCATATACCTATATATATAAACATTTGAGACATTTTCTATTAAATATTTAAAATATAGCAAACATATATAAACTATTATAAGTAGTGTTAGGGAAATTTGTTTAGCAAACTCTGTTTTCAGAATAGAATATATGATTCATAACCTACTCATGAGATTAATTCTCGAACTCCTCGAAATAATTGAAATTTCCACCCTAGTGAGAATATGAAAATGAAAATTTCGAGACTCATTCTCTAGATGGGAATTGAATAAAAAATATTCGTTAAGTATTGAGAGATGTTATAGTACCTGGGACATATATGGCAGTGACACTGACAAACATTGTTGAATAATTGATCGCAACGGCTCGGTGACGAGGTATGTTGAATTCGCTCAAATATGCATAGAGTGCTGCTGAGACACCGCCGAGACTGTAAGAAATTAATCAATACATTATATAAAAACAAAAATAAATAAACAGTCGACATCACTCGAGACAAGCTATATTAGCTAGCTTATCCATTGTATTGTAGTTTATCCATTGTAAATGAATTTAAGTTAATTTACATAGATGATTCTTACCTGATACCAGAAAGCAAGTTAATAATGTTAAATAGCCAAACGCTCGTCACAAACATGAGAACAAATAGAAGGGCGCAGCTTGAAAATGTTCCGTAAAGCAAAACCTTGCGACGACCTATTGCATCGCAGACATATCCCCATATATAGGTTGAGAGAAAAACCCCTACAAAAATTAAATACTCGTTGATTCATAATATACATGTATACAAAGACATGAATAGATGAATTTGTATACATATGTATATACATATATATCTATATATGAGAGTTTTCGTATGTTGAATTTGAATATAGATATAATCTTTTAATACATTCTTAGGTATATTATATATATATATATATATATATATATATATATATATAATATATACATATTTGTATATATATGCCACAGATGATTAATTAACAAGTATAAAATAATCGAGAGTTGAAGTGCTTCCAACTGCGTTTGAGTTGTTTGCAGACCATGACTTACCTGCTACATATGCCGCCATCATGACACCCATCTCGGCTTCCGTTGTGTCGAACTCGCAGCGGGATGCGATTACAACAATGCTCATTGTTTGCTGTGCAGCCACAGATGTGATTGTCAGAAGGCCGCTTATTAGAAGTAGTATCCATTGGGTCTTGCCATAGCCTATTACAATGCGTAGCGGAATAGCTCAACTATCTGTATTTGTGGGTGGGCAACTGCTTACCTATCTTCTCCAAGATTTCATCGTACTCCAACATATTTGGAGGGAACGTGTCTCCACGAAGGTATTGCATTTTCACTTTCAAAGCAAACGTCCAACTGGCGTTGTTTACAAACTGGCCACACCTTATATGTTAAGTATTTCAATAGAATATATAACATTTAAGACACACAGCTCACAGCTGTGATATTCCTACTACAAACCAATTCAACAACTTTTAATGCTTGAGAGCACAAAAACTTGTTCTGAGATTAAAATACCTGAGAATTTTATATCTTACTGTCATTTAAGAGAAAGAGTGAGTAAAAAAGAGAGATAGAGATATGTCATGGGGACAGTTAGAGAGAATGATTGCAAGGTTTGATACATATATTATTGTTATAAATGCAATTAATAGATAGATCGACAGATCAGCATATTTCGAGTTGAAATTATTAAATAAATTTAAACAAAAATTTGTGATTATACAGACACGCATACATACATCTCATTTAAAATAACTTATTCCGGGAAATATTTATTTCTTTATTTTAATTTTATAATTTACATATAATTTATTTTCTATTATTTTAATTTTAAGTAATACATACGTGCGTAGGTGTTGTTAGTATGTATCTGTGAAAAAAGAGTACAATGTATTGAGTTTGAACTTCTGACAAAGCTCCTAGTCGAACAGTTTCGTTTAGAGCTGTCATAATTGTTGACATTAGTTTGTCAAAGCCAGTAAGTTTCTATCATTTCCATTTAGAGACTTCTTACAGATATGTTATCAGCTCTGTTATATTGTTATCTACAGTATATCATTTTACTATTATTAAATAGTTTATTTATTTATCCAATATGACGGCTTTTAGTTTAATTGGTCCTGGTCCACGTCTGCACATAAACCAGATGAACGCTGAAGTAAACGACATTGTAAGTAGCCAGGCCAAGTTTTTATTTAAGGTCTGCGGTGGTCAATGAACGTAACTTGTTTGTAGGTGCCTTATCAAATTCACATCACACAAAATTGTTTGCCAACTTACGACCAATTACTTAAGCAAGTATCGAAAGTGATAGAATTTGTTTGCCAAGTTATTTATTGTTGTTATGTATTAAAATTTATTTGATTTCTTAGCCGCTCAGTCGTAGTCATAGTATAGATAGTTTGTAGCTTACGGGGCTTTGTTTGCTCATAATTTTGATTATTGTGGATTATTAATATAAATATATTTTTGGGTTTTTTTCGCATAAAGAAAGCAGGAAGTATCCGTATGTGTGTATTTGCTTTTGTGAATAGATGTATAGGGATGTTCGCCAGATCAGAAAAGTTTGTTAGATTAGACTAAACTAATCCTCTTTATTATCATTTTAATTTAATTTAATACTTAAATTGGAACATACATATTTCTTAAATTAATTTCATTTCCTTAGTATTCCATTGTCATTCATACTGTTGAATTCTCTACATTGGTAGAAGAAAAGCCAACAACGCACAAACTGTAAATAAATGATATTCAACATTAATTAAATAAAAAATATATAATACACGTTTGAGATAATTAGGGTTGTCTTGTTTTGTTTAAAAAATATATTTATATCGGGATATTTTTTTGTCCAAATATTTTTCGATATAATTGAGTTGGTCACTCTTGTGATAAGTGAGCCAAGCGCAAAAGTAAATAAAATGAATATGGTGAAAACGAATTATTTGGACTTTAAAAATGGAACAGCCAAATGTAATTTGTGCCTTAAAATAACAAAAACAAGTTATAAGATTGCGTAGGTACCAGAAATTATTAAGTAAGAATAATAAAAAAAAAAAAAAAAAAAAAAAAAAAATATAAAAAAATAAAATAATAAAAATAAAATAAAAATAAAATAAAATAATAAAATAATAATAATAATAAAAAAATAATAAAAAAAAAATAATAAAAAATAATAAAAAAAAAATAAAAAAAAATAATAAAAAATAATAATAAAAAAAATTTAAAAAAAAATTATAAGCAAAAATATATTAAACAAATAAGAAAAAAAATAAAATAAAAAAAATAAAAAAAAATATGAACAAAAAATAATAAAAAAAAAAAAAAAATACCAACAAAAAATAAATAAATAAAGGATAATAAAAAAAAGAATAATAATAAAAAAAAAAAATCCCCACTGTACTGCTGACTCCGACCGAGTCTGGACGACTGAAGAAATGCTGCAACTGCTGCCCTTTATATAGGGCGACATTCACTCAAAGTCTGAGTTTCGCTCAACTGTTGAGCCTGGCGCTAGGTAGGGTCGTTGCTTGTTGAGCTTTAAATGACCAATGGGAACACTCTCTTCTGCTGCAAGCATTCTAGCTTCGTTTTACTCATATATGAATACCAAACTAGTGCTGCTGCATACATATAGACAACTTAAATCATCTGTAGTTCTTCTTTATCCTTAGCTTCTCTTCAGTAGGCAGACAGAGAGACTGGCGGAGAAACAGACTTTGGTATTCATAGGGAGTCTGTAGTTAAATTACCTCTTCAAACTGTTCAAGAATATATATATATATATATATATATATGTATGTATATATGTATTACAGAACTGCATTAATACCAAAGAAAGCTATTCAAATTAACAATGCGAAAAATGCGTTGAGTCGCGTGGAGAGAGAGCCTAGAGAGATGAAAAGAGTAAAATTGCAAATTTGTTCATTCCGTTTAGCTGTTAGCCCTCAAATGCATTTTTCCCATTGTTAATTCAAGCAACTTTTTTTTTTTTTTTTTGTATTTCTGCAGATCTCTAATACATATGTACATACATATACTCTGATTTTGTTGCAGTGCTTGAGCCTAAGGTCACCGAGCCGAGCAAATACGAAGTATTTATCCATTTTGCTTTACGCACTTGTGTATACTTCCCTTCACTCATTCTACGTAACGTATGTTTTAAGTGAAGTCATGCAGTCCTCTAATATACATATGTATATGCTAGATATGGTTGACTGTTGATATGCTAAATGCATAGCTTATGTACTTTAATATATTTTAAATTATTATATGCCATAGACAACAATTTCTTTTGTTTTATACTTAGCTCTCTGGACGACTAGAGCTTCTGCATATTCTGCCTCTACTTCTATTTTCAATATCATCAATAAGCTAGACCACTTTCAAATAGACTAGATGTAGCCTGAAATAGGCTAAAATTGCAACCTCATGCATACATACCTACGTGTGAATTGAAATATTATTTGCTTGAAGGGCTGAGGGGATTTTGTAGTCTAGCAGTTTCGGTTTGAGCTTTCATATTTGTTTTTATACCCTGAACCCATTGAAAATGGGAAATCAGGGTATAATGGTTTTGTTAAAAGTATGTAACAGGCAGAAGGAGGCGTGGCAGACCCCACAAAGTATATATATTCCTGATCAGGTCGACGAGCTGAGTCGATTTGGCCCTGTCCGTCTGTCTGTCCGTCCGTCCGTCCGTCCGTCCGTATGTATGAACGCGTCGATTTCAGAAGATATAAGAGCTAGAGACTTGAAATTTTTTTTCCTAGGTCCGTGTATATCACGCGCATATCAAGTTTTTCTTTAAATATCGATAACTACTCCCGATATTTTATTATCGATCAAAAACCTTATCGAAAGCTAGTTATTTAATTATATCTCCTACACCTTTAGAGCTAGAGCTTGCAAATTTTAAATGTAGACTTATATGTATTTTATATAATTTCGATTTTTGTTGTAATTTACCCCCCACTCCTATATCCACCCCCTCACCATCACCTTTGTAAAAGGCGTATTTCAAGTACTAGAGACATGTGCTTTGGAATGTACATACATTTTTACCATATAATTACGCCCTGAAACTTTCATTAAGATTGTACGTCTAGAAATTAAATTATTCAACAAATAAATTCTTATAATCTTACTACACTACAGCGCAGACCAAGCGCAGTTAGCAGAGCGCATTCTAATACGTGTGTGTGTATGTATGTGTGTCGAAAAGAAGTGCAGACTGATTAGAATATCAGATTAGAGGGTTCAGGGTATCTCCTAGTCGAGCAGTCTCGACTAGAGTCTTCTTACTTGTTATATATTGATGTACTGAATTTATTGTTTATATATACAGTGAAGTATTGGACATTGTCCATTACTGGTTTCTGAAAGGCTAGTATCAAATCATAAATATTTTTACCAAATGCTTTTACTTTTCATGAAAACTTATGCATGCATTCAACACTGTTTTAATTGTGTGATTTAATTGCTTGATTGAACTCACACAAAACAAATCCAGAAAATAATCCAAATGTTATGTGGCAGTACGATTCGAGAAGTATTCCAATGATGTTGCTGCCAAAAACACTTCCCGTGCGCCCCAGCATGAGGCAGATGCAAACTGCCTTGCCCCTTAGATTTGTGGGGACGAGATCCACGACGACTCCGCTTAGTACTGATACACACAGGCCCGGTAGTACCAGGTACAAGCAAAAGCAGACTATAATGACTGCTTCATTTTTGATCCATACTAACGACAAAGCGCACCCAGCAGCTATGGCTAAGCCCACTGTGATGGATGCCTTGCGCCCGATTTGATTGATAACAAAGCCCATCACAATATAACCTGTAATTAAAGCTGATCCGTATGTAATTGTGTCGATATAACTCTTTGTATTGATTTGATCATTGCAAATCTGTAAAGAATTAAACATGTCTTAAAGTTGCTCAACTCAATCTTAGACCCATGTTCATACATCTGTCGTTATGTTAGCTTGCCACTGATCAACTGAAGCCTCGATCACATCACAAACGGTCATTGCGTCCTCGGCAACGGATGATCCCAGGCGATTGAGTATTTCTGGATACCATAAGCCCATGCCCGACGAGCTGAAAATAAATTCATCTGTAAGAACTGAAGTCCATTCGAGCCTTATCCCACCTGAAGAAGAGACCACACATAACAATGCAGCTTATGCAGAAGTTTTTCAAATGCGGCCTTTTTAGCAATGGTGCAGTTTCTGCCCACATTTTTCTGAAGCTCACCGTTCTAGAGTATGAAAACAATATACTATACCAATTAAAACATATTTTTGGCTTTAAGACTCACGGTGATTTCGATACACTAAGTATATTTTCTCTGTCTGCAAATGCATCACTTTTTAGTGCCTCAACTTTCAGGTCATGGAGATGTTTGCC